TTATATCTATATGTATATCTATGCTTGTATATATGTATATCTATGTGGGTGGGTATATATATTTATATATATATATATATATATATGTATATGAGTATTTGGACGATACCAACAATTCAGCGCATTCGGTAACATACTATGTCTTAATGGGGGGGGTTTTATTATACTTAGTCTGTATTATAGCACGGGATAGACGGCACATATAATTTTCCGCGTCGAAGTTGCATGAGCTTGGAGCAAGCACCAAACTAAACAATACATATATTTAGATGATTTCAAGTATATTCTCCTCATGCACGCGCTAATAGCCAATTAGCTTTAGTTAAACTCACTTCCCTGCGCTAAACCTATAAAACTTTTTTGACTGCAATTCGCTTCACATTGTTGTTTTTGCATCTGTTATTGGCTTCTCTATATATAGTTATTTGCAAGTTCTCATATAAAGGCATGCCCTCTGTTCACATTACATACACACACAAACATGTCTTAGTTCCTGTCTACTGGAGGAGCCACGGTAGCTGCCAAGAAAAATCCGAAGCAATCTGATACAGGAGCTACTACTCAACCGGTTCAGGGAAGAACCGCAACCTGGCAGGAGTATAAAGGTTATGCCAAACGCCTATTCTGGATCTGGATCTTCCCCATATGCACAGCTGTCTATCTGTCTATCGCACTCGTAGTATACTTCGCCACTGTCTACAACTGGACGTGCAAGGATAATCTCGCATTCCCACTGGTGGTGGTCGCGGGGTTAGTCTCCCTCCTCGTAACACTTTGGACGGGGAGTGTGGCGTACCGACTAAGCAACGATCGCATAATGATCAACAGGGGACTGGTGTATGTCTTCCAGGTCCATGCGGCAGCCTTGTTGTCCATCCCGATACTCTGCGCATATGTGCTGATGGAGGCGCATCTTTTCACACCCAACACTGTCGTGCGATCGTTGATGGGCCTGTACCTGAGCTTTTGTACATTCCTTCTATTATCTGCACTCCTAGCCCGTCAGAAACAGATGGTGGAGCTGTTCTCTGAGTATGAATTCACTGATGCGCCGAAAAACACCTACAGAAACACTGTAATGTGTATAGGGGCCATATACGTTGCTACAAACGTCGCTCATCTGGTGTTGATCTTGCTGACTGTGGACCCCGACTATCGTTATGCGCCGATATCCATAGTCAATATATTTTGCCTGTTACTATGGTTTTATTACGCTTATCAGTCCCGCCACGCTAGTGCCCAATTTTCCGATTTCGATCAATTAAGGCGTTTATTTGTTCTGATCACCACAACCTTAGTAGTCACGGCGGCATGGGGATACGTGAAACGAGAGGCGTTTATAGTGCAGAACTTACTAGTTTTTGGACTCATGAGCGTCTTTCTACTGGACTCGTACCTATCTCTGTTCGAATTTATCCGAGGTAAGTATGTGCTTTCCTCGATATATTTCACTGAAAAATGGAACATGTATCATTTATAGTTGCAAATATGTCATTTGGCGTGGACACTATCAGAATCTGCTTTTATGGGCTGATTGTAATGAATAATGAATAGGTGTACGTATTCGGTAGTGAATAGCTTATGTGAAATTGTTGTCCATTGAGTTCCGTCTGTTCATATCCTGCGCTAGCATATGCGTGTTTGTGACAATGGTTTTTGTTGTAAATTAATCAAACACGATAGGTGAAGAACTTCATGCAAGCGTACAGGCGTTGTTTTTTTTTCTGGCAGTAAACTAAGCGCTAACCTCACATTACTGGCAACCCCATCAACGTTACTCATGTGTCTTATTTTCTCGGTCTTAGTGCTTCGTTGTTCTCTCAGAAAATGCGTGCTTGCTTGCCATTTTTGGGGATTTGTAGAACCTGCCTAGTGGGTTAGTGTGATTATAGGATCAGTGCACATGGCGCTTGGATGAGCCCACGTTTTTGAAGCCATGGTATCCGACTATACTTCCATCGCCCCACCATATCAATTAGTTGCGATCAACGCTTAATCAATAATCTCCGATACAGACGAACTCGACCCCCAGTGCGCACGTGAAGTGGCCTTCGCCCATCACCCGGACAGGACCTCCCCACCAATTAAGGTCACTACTACTATGGCCTGCGTGCAGTCCAATCAGCACGCATCCCCAAATTCTGCAGTCGTCGATTCATCTGGAACTTCCAACATAAGCCCCATCACCAAGTCAACTGCGGATAGTCCCAGTAAGTGTACCCGCCAGCCAACTGTGAATATAGACACCGGCATAAACTTGAGCCTTTCAGAAAACCTATCAGTCTTGCAGCTTTGAGAGTGCAGAAGTCGTGGAAAGATACATCGGGATCCTAATTCCTACTGCACCTTGAGCAGCTTCTTACATATTTTGGGATCGAGAAACCCAACTCTCCCCGAGAGCCACCCCCCCCCCTTTCGAAGATCACCTATGGATACAAATTGATAGGGTATGCACTGTCTCTTACACTGATATCTCTACGGAATGTTAGCCGCCACCCCCTACCCCCCAACCCACGGGTGTATGTAGAGTCTTTTATCGAGAAAGCTGTCTGTGTGATGAGAATGACTCCGTAAGGCACTGTTCATTTGCACTGTTCATTTGCGTCAACGGAACGAAATTAACCAGACAAATCACTCCACCAACTAAGAACGGCCATGCACCACCACCCATAGAATCAAGAAAGAGCTCTCAATCTGTCAATCCTCACTATGTCCGGACCTGGTGAGTTTTCCCGTGTTGAGTCAAATTAAGCCGCAGGCTCCAAGTACATGTGAGAAAATGACAGGGGTGCGGACTGTGCTTGTATATCGTGTTTCACTTGTCATCGGTCAACACTTCGGAATATCAAGCCACATAGTCGGCCCACACTTGCGATACCTAGCCATTTATGTTTTAAAATGCAGCTCGGTTTACGCACACCATAGTAGAGAAATCATTGCGGTGAACTGGCAACGTTTTGAAGCCATGGGAGCTCGCGTATAGAGCGTTTTGGATTTCAGGCATTAGCATACAACTCCTGATTGGAGGGCACTTTTCATATGATAATATCACATGCGTGGCTCAGCATCATTGCATGGTTGCCACTATATAGAAGGGTCCGCGCAGGACAGCAGCGGATCGGTTTACACCCATAAGGAAATAAAGTTTTAGGATCTGGGAGATTTTAAAAATATCTCGTGATGGTTACAGATAAATTTCTAAAATCTGCACCCAGTGTTCTGTTTCATCCTGAAAAGGTCCATTGTTTTATAAGAGATCGGTGCACCAGTTCCTTGGAGGAGGTAATCGAGACACAATGTCTGAGATACGCGAGCATCAATGCGTACACCACGCAGATTTGTGCGATTGCAATTTTCTTGGACATTGTACAATTGTCATTTCACATAGGCTTTGTGCGATTGCTGTTTTACCTAGACTTTGTGCTATTACACTATGATGCAATTTTACTTAGATATTCGATTGTAATGTAAATGTCCATAAGCATGGTGTTTGTATTAGAATGTATTCTGTATTTTTACTTGAACTTAAGAATATCATGTAATTATACTTGGAATTTAAGTGCGACCCAATCGTATTATAGCATTGCGATATATTTGTATTTTAACAATACGATGCAAATAACAGGATGCAAACCTGGTACGATGCAACTAAATAGACCAATAAAAGATACCGAACTTCTCGAAAATTCCGGCTTAACCATTTTGAAAGTAGTGCTCGTTAATATTTTCAAAATATATTTAGATACTTTTCTACACACTTTTCTACACTGTCGTTTGTTCACGCAATTTGTGTACATATTCAAGCACACAATATGGGTATTACAGGCTTGAGACCAAATGCCCTTGTCGGCGGCGTCTCTATCACCAATTTATGAAAGAGGGAATGCATATCACAAAATTACAGCCCATGACAGAAGGAAAATACTGCATCACAGATGCATCCTTCTTGATTTACATAGCCATATTACGTTGCATTAGAAGCTATTGTGCTGCTCCTGAAATCGCACATAGTTTAGACTCCCAAGGTGGTGAGGGTGTTACTGATACTCTCTCTGATGCGATAGTTGCAGTATTCAAGTCCTATAGTGACCAATGCACACAAGAGTTCGGATGCACGCCCGTGTTTGTGTTTGATGGAAGAGTTGCCCCATCAAGATATACCGAACATGGTCGCCGAGTAGAGGATTGCGAAAATGCATTTCGTATTAGAAAGTACAGGCAAGGAAACAGACGGCCGTGGAAATCCAACAGCTGAAGCGCTCAAGCTAGTGAAGGAATGCTCTCGGCGCACCTGGGGGATGACTAAGGTAGCTATTGGATTCTGTAAAACTATGCGATATGAACGCTGGATAGCTCCATACGAAGCTGATAGTCAGTTGATCTACCTATGCAGAATGTATAACAGTCAAGGATGTGCCGCTTTCATTGAGACTAAGGATAGCGACGTGATATAGATGTGTGTTTCGATTTCGTTAGTGAATGCGGCAAAAATAATATACGTGATAAGTGTTACAAAGTATGTATGCTTACTACCACAGATTGAAGAAGATTCTTGCATGACAACAAGTATACTGATGCGTGCTTCTTAACTCACGCCCTACTAAAGGGCTGTGAATATACGAAACACTTACGAACCAAGAAACAACTTCTTCGCGGTAAAAGGATGAATACTCTGATGGACAAAGTTGTTAGAACCCTAAAGGAAACACAAGATGCAACGAACGACGGCATTCTACTAGCACTTAAAATGGCTCTAGGTGATGTATATGACGACTGTGAAAGTGCTTTTATTTAGGGGCTGAATGCTTTTAGAAACGCTTGGGTGTTTGATGTATCACAAACGAAATGCATCGCAAAATCAGGCGAGAATATTTTGACTCATAAAGTTATAGAATATATTGGTGAGAAGATTCTAAGCGAGCATGTGCAGACCGTCTGTGCGGGTGCGTGTGACCCATATATCTTCGAGCCAGAGCATATACAGGCGTATGGTATCACACAAACCCCAACCAAATTCAATTAACATACGCTGTCATGACACGCAAGTGGTATCTGTTCCCCATACTGTCTGCTGAGGACACACGAATGCATTTCGGTCCAGCAGCGTATAAGAAAGGACATGATCGAGTAAGTGTACATATAATGAGGAGTGCGACGGCTTTTGACATGAGCAGCTTATCGCACGTGCTAGATGATGCTGCTATTACGCTAACATACAGGTGGATGGATCTTCAAATCGTGGCAAATATATAAACAGAAAATATCATCTATATTCGTGTACGGGGGCCGCGATCGATGGCCAACTCTACTATGCGTGCGTATGCATTTATTGAACGGATCGAAGCAGATAAAGAGTACGATGTCAAAGGTGTACAATTAGACACGACGCAGAATAAATTCGAATTTTTTTCGGCATATTCGATTGTATCACAATATATCTACACTAACTTTATCTACTTGATCTTTCAGTTGGCTATTGTGAATGTGACTTGGGTCTCGGCGGTAAGTGCGTGCACTTCGCAGCTCTTGTTTGGACGATGACTCAGCAGGCAGCCTGGGCAACAGCGCATGTAACCGCACGCTACTAGTATGATGACTTGGTAGTTGATGGTGACAACATGCCAGGTAGTCATCATCACGAACTTTGCACTAGTAGACTGTGTGAATGGAAGGTGCGAACAGCAATACTAAAACTGGATCTAAAGATACCCATAGATCAACTGGTATTCGAAAATCCAGCAACACGGGCCGAGGCACAAGACAAATTTGCCGAACAAACTCGATTAATTCAGAATCGTACACAGACTGATGCATACAAGCTTGCTGCTCGTAAACCACGTATTGGAGTTCGACCGCACGTCAGTAGTAATCGAGCTATGGTGGGCCTGCAAAGTAGACCGGCTGAATGATAACATACCATTGTCGAAAAAAAAATTCAGTTCTTCAGTCTATTCGAAGACTTAAAGCAGGCTCAGAAACGCTTCTGTACATTCAAACTGAGTGAACTATAGACACAGTATCAATAAAAAAAATTCCTCAGAATACGATGTGCATATATACTTTATTGAAATTCTCGGCGAACAATAGGACTAATACTATCAGTTAAAAAAAAGCAAATCCCTGCTGAACACGTGCAGCCTTACAGAAGAAAGGAGTTTCTGTGATGTTTACCTCTTTAGCGAGCATCTCAAAAAAGTTTAGAGCGGCAAATAGCACGCTCAATATGAATCCTCACAGCAGCGATCTTCTTGGTCATCCAATTTTGCTCAGCAGTGAACTGGCCACCGGTTTGCAGCAATGGGGCAAGAGGTAACAAATCCTGCACATGAAATCCTTTACCTCCCATCACACTCGAATTCTTCCATAGTTTAGAGAATAACGCTTTTTTGAATAACTCAGATAGTACTCGATCGCCAAAAAAATCTTCCTCCATACACTGCTGAACAAAGCAGACGTGCCCTAAGCCAGATATCCCAACTAGTATCTTGAGTGTGTTGTGATGTTTGTAGACTGACCAAGTAGCCCTTTGTATGTCTAAATTGCTAGGTGTATTTAGAAAGAATTATGTCGCATCTATGACCAATATTTGGTTTTCTCCGTTGCATCAGTGGAATCTAATAGTCTTCTCGCTAGTGCTGGATACTGACACAATGGCATTGACGTAGCTAAGAATAGGTCACTACATTGTGTAGTGAACTCTATGATGTCTTCGCAATTTTCCAACCTAAAGAAACTATCCTTAGGCATCTTGGGAAATTCCGAAGTCTTGAGTAATTTCTTAAGAGACGGTTCGTTTATGTGATCGCCTAAACGGGAACCCATGAGCTCTAGCTCACTAATGTACAATCGAATTTGTATGAGTTTGTCCTTCTCATCATCACCACAATCGTTGATCGCTTGGTCATTTCGTCGTCTGAGTTCCGCATCCACTAGTGGCATACGGCGCTCTGGCTGTTGGTCATGTATGTAAAAACCCTCATCTTGTGTAGAGTTGGTATGGGCACTGGTGCTGTTTGTTCCAATTTGGACACAAACCGACTCACCACAATTGATTGCCTCGACAGATATTCTTATCTATTTCTAGACGCATTGCTGACGCTGCGATGGGTACTCCCGCCGGTGTAGGCTGACCCGAACTACTGCCTGGGCTTGCCTCCCCCACTGGGCTGACTCCCGCGTCACCCGCGCCTTCACTCTCTTTTCACCCATTGTACACGCGTGTTCTGGTTGCTGTTGGCATTTTTAAAAGTCTGTGTTGGTTTGTGGGTTTTAGTGGATTAATAATAAAGACTCTGGTTATGTTTTGTGCGCAAGCGAGCGCTTCACCCGGTTTACTTACAATTATAGTCTTGTTGCGTTGCTGCACTTCCGCTGGAAGTGTTTACCGTGTTGTATGGCCCGGTAGCTTGTTGCTTTGTTCCCTGTATTTATGAGGGATAAAAACGGTGTTTGTTTTAGTCAAGCTTATCTCGTCATATGTGACGTCACTTGTGCTTATTCCGTCATGTGAGAAAATAATTCCTCATGTGTGTTCTCAATGAGATGTTCGGTCCTAGTGACGTCAACAGTTGGTGTTCGGTCCTCATGACGTCAACCCTTAATGTTCGGTCTTCTGCGTATTTGTGTTGTGTACGAACGACGCGTATTTAGTACCTTGTGTTAATGGTTGCTACTTGGTAGCTTTGTAACACCTTTTTGTTGTTCTCTGTGATCTTCGATGTTCGATCAAATGTTCGGTCTTATGCGTATTTGTGTTGTGTACGAACGACGCGTATTTAGTACCTTGTGTTAATGGTTGCTACTTGGTAGCTTTGTATCACCTTTTTGTTGTTCTCTGTGATCTTCGATGTTCGATCTCACTGTGGAATCTTCTTGTTACGGTTGTCCTGTTCATATACAGGTTGTTGTTTGAGCTTGTGATTACCTGAATGATCTTTACCACTTCTACTGTTTTTCAGTTAATTTACTTCGTGTGTCACGTTGTTGATTTCTGAAGTGGCGTCTATTCTTTTTGGTATACATGATAGCTGCTTGGTTCCTATATATTGCGATTCTTTAAACTGGTTTGTTCGTTAAAGTGCTCCGCCTCCTATGTTCCTATTCATCTGAATTGATGTGTCTGGGATGACCTTGAGCATTCCGCTCAATCGTATTGATTGTCACGGTAAAATTTGTATTTGACTCTATTGTATTATATAGTGTCTGTGTCATCGATCAAATTATTCGTTGTCGATTGATCTCTTGTATATATATATATATTATAACTGATCCTTTATATATATATGCTTTATATACTGTTCAAGTGTTATGATGGTGTGACCTTTTGTTCTATACTCAATCTCTTTGTGTGATCATTGTGGGTATGAATTGAACTCGATCAGATTGTGTGTAGTTGTTCACCATATATCTCTAAAAACCCTCACGATGATCGTTTTTGGTATGAATTGTACCTGATCAGATTGTGTGTAACCGTTTACCAGAGATTTCGTATTATTATGCGAAACTGTTGTCTTGTGTATTTCTATAATAATCACTATTCTGCTTAAATGCGTGTGTTTAGTGACTGTTCGTCCTCATTGTGACCTCTTCTTGGTCTGTTGAGTGTGTACACGGTGATACCTTGTTAAATGTGATGATCCGGTAACTCTAATGTGTTCGTAGACGTATATTTTATGTCTTGATCTTATGCTCTGTTATGTTATTCTAAGGTAGAATACGTGTCTAATCTCTCATATATGCCTGGCTATCCGATTTCAATCTTATTTGTAGACTTATGCCCTCGATCAATTCTATGAATTTCAATCTTATTTGAAGATTTGTGCCTTCGATCAAATTCTATGAATTTCAATCATATTTGAAGACTTGTGTCCTCGATCGAGTTCTATGGATTCACCGCTTATAGTCGTTTAGTAATTGAGGTGACACTCTTCTATTTTATCTGAATTGGTGTGTATTATATGTTTGTACATATATTTCTCACTGATAACTTCTGTGCATCTGATTTCACTTAACTTGTTTTTTTCTACACCTCACGATTCTTCTATGATTTGCTATTCTTCTATTAGGGTTATCTTAGTGTGTCCTTTCTATTGTGCCGTTTGTTTTGCATGGCACGTGTGATTTAAGTTCTTAATCTTATAAGTACGAGCATTTGTGCTATACATCTGAATTGGTGTGTATTATATGTTTGTACATATATTTCTCACTGATAACTTCTGTGCATCTGATTTCACTTAAATTGTTTTCTTCACACCTCACGATTCTTCTGTGATTTGCTATTCTTCTATTAGGGTTATCTTAGTGTGTCCATTCTATTGTGCCGTTTGTTTTGCATGGCACGTGTGATTTAAGTTCTTAATCCTATAAGTACGAGCATTTGTGTTAAACATCTGATTTCACTTTTCTTGCGCTTCTAGTATCTTTTTTGATGGTTTAGGGAATGTGTCTCTACCCGAATGGTATAAGGTTGTGCTCTTGTCTATGCTCTAGTGTCTGTGAAGTGGTGTCAGTGTATGCAAAGCTCGATTCTTTCACGTGTTTTTGGATATTGATCTCGTGTGCGAGAACTGAGTGATACTTGTGTGCAAGTACTGAGTGAGACGGGGTAGTGTCCTTTTCGTGATTGCCACCTTAAGCTATTTTATTGTCTGAAAATCCAGAAAAACCTTTAACATTGATGTAGTAATCACTACGGCAGCTTCTCCTTTTTTCTTTCACTGTTTTAGCCTCATTGCTTTCACTTCTTCACTGTTACACGTTACTTATTCTTGCATAATTTCTGATCACAACTCACTCTTACACTGTTTGTTGGTACACACGAAACTCGCCCTATGTATGCCTGTATTGCACCTGTGAACACGATTCAGTTATCTAACTTGTTCTTCTTTCCAAGCTACTTGGATAGCTTCTCGGTAGGCTTCTTCGTACACTATGTTACTAACCTCTGGTTGTCGAAAGTCTTCTATCTTCCTGCCTTCCTGTGTCTGAGTTCCTTCGGCTTCTTCCTTAGAGCCTCTCAGGTTCTAGGTTCCTCTTCCTCGTATCTGAGACCTCAATTGAATATTCTAAATAAAGTTTTTTGGACACATAGTTTGTTACTTCACTCTTCTTCTTGATTGTAGAAGGTGGTGCAAATTGTTAGACTTATCTAAGTAAGGATATTGTAAAAAAAAATGTAGAGTAAGGAGAGTAGCTGAAAGATACGAGACAAAAGGATACAATAGACCTCTTCTCAAATATGGCTATTTCAGTTAGGAAAAGTTCCTAGTCTGAGAAACCGAACTGAGTCTTTATTTGTGTTTCCATTATACTCAGGATTTACTTGAGTGTTTCTCTCACACGCGGGAGTCCCGGTGTAGCTTACAGGTTCTACCGCTAATATTTCTGATGACTCTAATATCAGAAATATTCCAATCCTAATTCCAAAACTCAGTATTTGATGATTCTAGGTTTTGAGATTTGGATTGCCTTTTTGATACTCTGGTCCCTAGATGCTACATCTAGGATCCAATATTTCTGATGATAGACTGATCAGAAATATAACGGGATACCGATAGATGATACCGGGACTCCCGAGTGTCAGAGAAACACTTAGGTAAATATTGAGTCTAGTGTAGAAAATACTAAACTAAAGTAGAGACACAATGTGTGTTCTTCAGCCTAGGACTTTTACCTAGCTGTATGATTCGCACTTGAGAAGAGGTCTATTGTTTCTTCTGGTCGTATCTTGCAAGCTACTCTCAAACTCTACACTTTTAACAATATCCTTACCATGGTAGGTCAACCTACAGGGACACAGCTCTGATAAAAATACTCCCTGATAGTACAACCACGAATGATACTACAACAAGAAAGATAGAACTAGAACGGGCGGTAGACATATAAAACTCAGAACAATCTTTGGACTCATTCAGTGGCTTCTTGTGGTGAAAATCAGTTTGAGGATTAGTTGGTTGACCGTAATTAGGAGATAAAAATCCTACCAGCTGTTCTGATTGGATTCAAATTAAATCGAACTCCTGTGAACTATAAACCCGTACT